GCCAATTGTATTTGCAATTTTAGACTTGTCAGTAATTAAATTATCACCATCTTTAAGATGGTGAACAGCAGATTTTGAACCATGTTCCATACCTTAGACATTGGCGTCCGTGAATTAATTTTTCAGACATAATATCTCCAAGATTATCATTTGTTTTGTTTAAAGGTACGACGCGCCTTTGCATTGAGTATTTTAAATTTATTTAAGTTGTGGACAGTTGGATGATGGTGGAAATAACGCTCTGCCTTTTCCCTCGCTTTTCTGGCTTGTCTACAATCTGTATTAAACGATGGTTTTCGTACATGTGGAGTCGTAGAGGACTTTGGTATACACTCATCAGCTATTTGCTTTAAAACGTCAGCAAAATTTGAATGGGATCAGTTATATCACTGAAACATTCAGGTCGCACTGTCAATTTACATATAGTTTGATATAAAGACCAGTTAGTCTTCGAAAGGTCCATCTTGTATACGATGGAGAATCAGATGGAGTTATTTCTGAAAGGATAGTTCCACAAAGGGCATTATGAACAGACCAATCAAATTCATTCAGGAGGTTAGAATCTGCAAGAGACAAATCCAGAGAAGAATAAGTGCCAGTTGCAGGATGCAGATAGGTGCTTGAATCATCATTAAATATGCACAGGTCATTATTGGAAATGAATCTTCAAGTATTTTGCCTTTAGTATTAGTGTTAGTACTGCCCCAGAGTGGGTTGTGACCGTTTAGGTCACCCATAATAACACATGGCTTTGGGAGTTGATCATAGAGTGATCAGTCAGCTGAAGGTTCGATGAAGGCGGAATATACAGAGAGCATTACGTAAATGCTACACCCAGAGTAAGTCGCACTGCAACAGCTTGGAGATTAGTGTAAAGTGTAACAGGGCTGTGAATAACATCCTGTCGTATGAGGATAGTAGAACCTCAAGTGGCTCTATCACCTGGAAGGGAAAAATAATGATACTTTTCAAACTGACGAAAGTTAAAATTATCTGTCTGTTTCAGATACGTCTCTTGCAGACGGATTAATAGCTGTATTTCATTACAATTTGTCCGGAGTCCTCTACAGTTCAACTGCACGATATTGTTAGATAGGCCTATCTTTTAGGCGGATTAATTGGGGATCTACCCCGCACCGTTTTCGAGGGCGACAAGCTATGTGCCCTAGAATGGACGTTTTCGGACACGTCCATGTCCTCAAGTGATCCGTATTTGTTAAATAATTTGATGTTATCATCTGACCCTTATGGGGCTCAGCCACTTTGTTTCTTCAAAGAATCTGGCTTCGGTTTGCCTTTGTTTTTAACGATTTGTTGAACTTTGACGTTGATTGAGACTTTTGAGTTGACTGAGAAGATGTGTCACGGTCATAAGATGGTTCAGATTGGATTTGGGGCGTACCAGGAAGTGGTTCTGCAGTTTGTGTAGATATTGCAGGTGACAAAATCTGAGGAGTAGACATAGAAGGTGACAAAATCATAAGAGAATCGGTTTTGAGCCAGGTTCAATTCGTTTGACAGCTTACAGACGATTTGGCTAGTGGAGGAGTTGAATCAGACGATGTTTTGGCTATGGATGCATAGGTTTCCTTAATTTCAGATCGTAAGACAAGCTTTTTGGCATCAGTAAAACTAATGTTTTGGGTGAACTTGATCTTATTGATCTCCATCTGCTGTTTCCAGATGGGACAATCTTTGGAGAATGGTGAGTGATTGCCTGCACAGTTGGTACATTTCTTAAAGTCACTGTCACAATCTTCTGTTGTATGAGTCTTCTCACCACAGTGAGCACAAACAACAGACAATGTGCAAGTACTAACACCATGACAAAACTTCTGGCATTTAAAACACCTTAAAGGATTTGGTATGTAGGCGTCAACATTAATGTGACAATATCCTGCCTTTACTGATCTGGGAGCATTTGGAGAGGAAAACGAAAACAGGTACGTGTTAGTCTGAATGGTTTCCTGGTTTTTACGTGTTGTAAAACGCTTAACGTAAGTGACCCCTTGATCTTTCATTTCTGAAACAATATCAAGTTCAGACATGTCGGCAAACAATCTATCTCTGATGATTCCTTTGCTGGTGTTCAGTGTTCTATGAGGAGATACTGATACTGGAATGCCGACGAATGTTTCAGTAGTCATCAGGTTATTAGCCTGCTGTCTTTTGCTGTACTCAACGAGCAATGCACCTGAACGTAAACGTTTGATATTTTTAACGTCACCGGCAAAGCCTTGTATGCCTTTCTGTATTGCAAAAGGGTTCAATTTTAATCTTGTGCTCTCTTGAGTCTCAATCACTAGAAAACGTGGCCAGTAATCAATTGAAGTGGACATTCCTTGGTCGTTATCATCTGGATCAGCGTCAAGTGGACGGGGTTTTTTTGTAATGGGGGTTTCGTAAGCCATGGTTAGTTAGTTTTCAATGGTTCATCATCCGAGCTCCCCACCCACCACGGAGTATCACAAGGACAATGCTAAAAACAAGTGGGTCTCCAACTTGCAGCACCAAGGATACTCGGATGATATACTCAAGCAGAAAAACTAAAAGATTAATTTTTCCACCAGATTGGCCCATGAGCCATCGCCTTCTGGCACCAGCATCTAGGCAAATTTCTACTTTTCAGACGTTTCAAAAAGCAGTGTATACTAATAAACTTACAAGCACAATAAGTTTAACAATATGTATAAAAAAACAAGCCAAAAAGTGACAGAGCAATGAAAATAGAGTGCTCAGGGCTCGGCATGACCAGCCGATTGGTTGAACCGGGCCCATTCAACCACCTGTCTAGGTGAAGTCAGGGCCGAAGTGGTGTGTTGGGCAAAGGAACACTGTTCCTGAAACCAGTGCCCTCAACCAGCAGAATCCCTTCCACCACCGACACAGGGGCGCAACCCACGGCAAACGGGTTGGTGGACCAAATATACCCCCGGGTCCACAACGGGGGGTTGAAGAGCGCTTAGCGTTACCCAGCACCCACCACGAGGAGGTGGCTCTTCACTGGTGCCTTTAGCTCTAGATCTTATGAAGGTAGTACTGATAGTTTGGGCTGCAATTTATGTACATGAGGAGCAAAAGGTTCAACAGTAATCGGTATATTCCTCACGGGAGTGTTGACATGGAAAACTTAGAGTAAAATGTTCTGGTGTAAAATTTTGCAGTGGCTTTCATACTCTGATACAACAAGGTAGCAGCACATTCAGTCGAGAATTGGAATGCCCCAACCAATCCTCCTATTGTTCTCCGCCTTACTGAACGTATAATTTTAAGAAATATTGGGAAACCGGGGGGTAAACCCTTCGGCGTGACGAGAAAGCCCTTTAATAACGAGGCTATCCCGGGGTCTTCTCGGGGGATTAACAGTTATGCTTGCTTGATTGTGCAAATACTGTTAATGCCTGAGAGATATGGTCCGGCAAACTGGAGGATTAGCTCACCTTATTAGCCTGCTGAGAGCAGTTCACCATGACGCGGACGGACATTACATATTATTTGTTGTAACATCACACAAGTGAAATATGTTCTCTGAATACAAGTATATAATGTTGAACTGTGGTCTAGTGCATTTATTCACCATGGCAAACGTACAGGCTGCCTTACATTTCATTCCAAACGGTAGAGGAGGTCAGTACTTATTATTTAGGTCCTGAAGATTTAGTATCAAGTTACAAGGAGAGTAACTTCTAGCCACTGGAAGTGTTGTCAGAAGGATTGCCGAGCCACAGTCAACACCAAGATGACCCACTGACATCTTACAGAGGCAAACACAACCATATTGTAGACAACAGACAGATTGCCATCGACAAGTTTGTCATCAGTTTGAAGGGCATGGTCCGTCAACAATCGAGGCCGCTACCTTCCATTTTTCATCATCCCAACCTTTAACAGCATCAGACCTGCACTTATACCGATTTGTAAAATATGGATATAAGGCGATGTAAATTATTAACATGTGTCATGTAAAACTAAACGTGTTCGATCAATATTCTGCCACAGTCATTCCTTAACTTAACAGGTTTCAGAGTTTACAGGATCATACAACACAGTGACTAAATATCACAGGTGACCAAATAGAACAGGGAACAAAATATAAAGCGCACCTTTTGTTGTAGGGGATTATCTCGCTCCAGTGAACTGGGACCCTAAAACAAAAGGTGCTGGGTAAGTGAAAATGACCCGGCTATCCCACCGGTTTACCCCCGGTTTCTGAAGATAACAAAGTGACATTGCTGGAGTAGTGATAAAACCATCGTGAAACCATACTCATTCACTTATGCTGCTTCTGTTGGTCATCGATTTATCTCATACTTCCTCTCATACTTCATGATTTTATCTGCACCAGTTCCTCTGCTTTGTTAACACATTTTGGTAAAGGGTCGCCCTTGTCACTGTCGACGTTGACGGAATATGATTGTTTATTTTTGAGAATCTTCAAAGCAACCAGGCTTTTGTTTGTTTGATACAATGTACGAATTCAGAATATTTAGGTGATTCAGTAAAACGCGTGTTAAAGTAGATCTATACGGTATAAACAAATTCTGTTTCGGTGTTACACACAATGACAGATAAATTGTAATTTCATGATTATCTTCAATCAAATAGTAACATTAACATTGTCCCCGTTAACAAGAGTGAGTGAGTTATTATTTAGCGTCACATCGGCAACATTAACAAGACAGTGTTTGTCGACGATGAGGAATAAAATCACTTTTACGTCATGTCTACTTATTTCTCTCTCTTATTTTCTTATCCATAACAGAGGTATTGTCTGATTCTGTGATGAGTAGAATATAACAGTTGTTTGTCCACATGGTGCATAATACCGTCAGCAGCAATGTTCCAGTTATATGACAACACAATCTTTACCTTGATTTATATGTCTTTTATGATCTCATTGTCACATATCACATATTGTACCTATTGTGTTTCAAGTGTCAATTCAATCTCTTCCAAACTATTATTGTGTCGTTTGAATAAGAGTGTTCCCTTTTTTCAAGGTGACCGATTGCTCGACATCCCATGTCGTGTGTGCGGCGACCGCAGTTCCGGTAAACACTACGGCATCTACAGCTGTGACGGTACGAATGTTGACTTGCTACATCAGTTGATCAACACTGGACACTACATGTTTGATTGTAAAATATCCGCAACACATTTGTAAATGTTTGACAAGAAATAAAATATCTGAAACCTATATGGTAATGTGTTTCCAATACTGCATGTGCTAATATTAATATTAATATTAATATTAATATTAATATTACGTTTGCGTAAATTAGTTAAAAGTCTGACGTCTCAACTGTCACATTTGGCATCAGATGCGTATCCAATCATTTTCAGCTTCGATCTATTGCAGGCTGCTCCGGTTTCTTCAAGCGCAGCATACACAAGAACCGCGTGTACACGTGCAAGGCCCAGGGAGAGATGAAGGGCATGTGTCCCATAGACAAGACACACCGCAACCAGTGTAGAGCATGCAGGCTAAACAAGTGTTTTGACTCAGAAATGAACAAAGACGGTAGGATGCCATAAAAAAACAGGGACATTATGTATCTGGGGTTTTTTAAAGAAACAAATCAAACGCAATGAATATATCTATGAATGTACAATGCAGGCTGTGACATAATATAGGCCAGTACTTGAAGGTATTGCATGTCTTTACACATATTTAGTACTATCAGATATGATAAAGAGTAAATGAACTCGTGTTTTGTTCCATGACAGCGGTCCAGCATGAACGTGGCCCCAGGAAACCCAAGATGAAGTCCCCAGAAATGTGTGTATCCCTCCACAGCCACTCTCAAGACCGACCTATTGATCTAAGTCTCTCAAACCCCAATCCGTCTACGGCAGTCAAGTTTGATGTGGACTCATTCCATAAGTTCAGTCTCCGACCTGACCACCCCATGGTTGTAATGGGATACGCTGGTGAACTTCCACCTGAGATGATGCGTTTACATGCGCCTTCAGCGTTCACATCACCTCCGCTGATGACATCAATGGTGACTCTACAACACGACGTGTGGCAAGAGGTCATGGCACGACTTCTTTTCACCATTATCAGCTGGGTCAAACAGATTCCAGCTTTCCTCGTACTCTCCGACAATGATCAGGTTTGCTTTTTTCCTAATTCCCCCCAACTCTATTAGACCACGACTTTGAAACTCGGCATTCCATCACCAATAGGACAATACCGTTTGGTATGTATGACAACTTTGGGGCTACATTTCCGAAAATTGCTTTAGTTTTAGCTCTGCTTGTGTTTCTCACTGTCTCGTGAACTCACTGGTTAATAACCATATACAGGCACGTAGCAAGCCAAATGTTTCGTGTAATCCCGATAGGTTGCAAAGCTATTTGTTTAGATAGTATTGAGGACTTGTCCAACCTTTTTAGCAATAATCATGTGTCAGCCCGGGCTGTTTTTATAATGGTAGCTACGTCCCTGATATAATTACTCATTTATAAATAATAATAATTCTCCGTGAGAACTCTAGAGGAACTTCACATTGTTTCCACATCTGTGATTACGATCATGCAGTTCATGAGAACATCACTTTGGGGTTATATCACACCAGATTTCCTGAAAAGTGTTATTTAAAAGTGCAGGTAACTTTGGATAGCTTCAAATTTCATAGTTATTTGAAAAGTTATAAGATTAACAGTAAATAAACATGTAGCAAAGTACTTTGTATGAAATTTGGTGTCACTTTGTGCACAATGAACTTACTTTTTGCATGCTTTTTGACACCTGAAATTCACATTCCTGATATTGAAAATGGAAGAACGGTTGATTATTCTCTAGCCTCGGAATGTTGTGGAAAACACGTTAATTTCAACCGCGTATGTCATGCCACGGCTTACAGAAATTCAGCGTCTCCGCACCGTGGGTATGCTGGAGACTGGAATGACCCAAAATGAAGTGGCCAGACACTTCATGTGTCCATCGAAACACGATATCGTCTCTATGGAGACGTTTTCATCATCGTTTTCATCTCTCACACGAGAAATTTGCCTCGGACCGTGACGTCATGTCAGCAAGACAACCACATTCGGCTGACCCATCTAAAGAATCGATTCAAGACTGCAAGTTTGACTGCACGGACCACGTCCAATCAGGACTGTACGGAACCGACTGAGGGAGCACAACATCCGGCCCCGACAGCCTGCAATACGTCCAGTTTTGCTCCGGCCTCACTGACAGGCACATCTTGCCTGTTGAGACATCATCTTAAGACATGTTTACGTTTGCCCCTGGGGGTAAAATACCTCCAAGGGGCAAATTTCGTTATGTAAACGGTACATACAGGAGGTAAATATTTACCCCCTTGAGGGTATTGAGGCAAAATCTGCCCCAGGTCAAGAGGTAGGGCAAATCTGTTTACCCCAGAGGCAAACGTGTCTTGTAAACGCTTTTTATAATTTTTCACGGGTGTCAAATGACAAAAATCTAACACCCCTGTACAGAAAATGGACTCAATGAAAATGCCACCAAAGAAGAAGTGCTCACGGGGTAATTCGACTCAGTATTTGGGGTAACTTGAAAGCACAGTTCCAACTGGATAGTGTCTTGAGAACAGACAATGCTGTATACACAAGAATCAGCAATGCTTTACATGACATGGGTTGTGAAAGAACCAGATCTCAGTGTAAGGAGATCTCGAAGAGCTGATCCAGTGACTGGATCTGGATGAATTTGTCCTCTCTCTCCTGCTCCAACATCTGCGTCCTGCAGCCAGTCTGGGTCGAACAACTCGTGCTCATTCTCACACATGTTGTGCAAGACAACTGAAGCTGCAGTAAGTACTGGCACAAACTCCACATCCACATCAATGCGCTTAGAGAAACGTCTCCATCGCCCCTTGAAGCGGCCAAATGTGTTTTCAATAGTCATGTGTGCACTGCTCAGTCAGTAGTTGAAGAAGAAGGATTGTTCCTTTTTCTGAGCCCCTCTGTTGCTATATGGTTTCAGTAGCCAAGGACACATAGGGTACGCAGGGTCTGCGATAATGACACTGGGCATATCCACTTTATGATCAGCAGGGCCTACACTGTCCATCATCTCTGCGGTCTGCGATAATATCTCACCACCATCTGCCAAAGCCCTCAGGTTAGAGTTTGAGAACACCCGTGCGTCGTGCACCAGCCTACGCAGACATCAGTGAACCTGTACTTATCATCACAAACAGCTTGCATGATGATTGACTAGAACCCTTTTCTATTCACATAATCAGAGTTGAATTGCTGCGGGGCCACAAATTGGAATGTGTGTTGCATCTATAGCACCTCCACAGTTTGGAAAGTTCCATTTCTTTTGGAAGCCTGAAATAACTCTTTTAAGTTCTTCGCCTTCAGGGAACTTGACAGCAACTGGGAATATGTATGGGTTAATGGCATTACACACCTCATGCACAATGCAGCAGACAGTGGATTTGTGTATACCAAAAAGATTGGAATGGTGCGATATTCTCCTGTTGTAGCGAGAAAACATACTGCAACTGCGACTCTGTTCAAGACAAAGAGCTTGGCGAATTCTGGATTCAAGATGTTGTCGAAGTGACAGAGAAAATTGAACATTGAGAGTTCTCTCTCCACCGAGCATCATCAAATGTCTCATCTGCCACTTCCCACCAGTGTCGACTTCTTTAATAATAATGATAATATTTATTCATTTATATAGCGCCTAGTTTCCATCTGACGAGTTGCTCACTGGACGCTGTAATCAGAAGCTGATTATTATTTCCCCGGATAACCCAAGCTGCCTGTTAGGCGCTAGAAGGTTATAGTCACATTACTTTATCCAACCCGGTACCCATTTTCTGCTGGGTGAACAGAGGCAATTTTGAACAAACTCACTTGCCTAAGGTGAGACCACATATATCACATGTGCTTCGTTGTGGGGCAGGACTGAAGTCCTAGAAACTCCCAGGAGTCAAGTTGCCAAACACGGTCACCCATCCAAGGACTGTCCGAGCTCGACGTTGCTTAACTACAACTGATTCATGACCTGAGCTCTACGCACAGGTCCTTCCCACACATTTCTCTCACTGTGTAATGTGGATGTCACACATAAAACCATAACTTGCAAAAATCTGTTTCTTCTCCTTTTCTTTGACAGTCGCCTGTACCTGCCCATGGTCAGATTGAAATGAAAATGGTGAATACCCACCCCTCTCTTAAAACCCATGTAAACGCAAATTCTTTTGCCCTTTGCCCCTGGGGGTAAATTAGCCCGGGGGTAAACGCAGCTTAAGATACAGGAGACAAGACTGGGATGGCGTTTTGTTCACTGTCTAGTCGAGATTTCATTTGGACAGCTCAGGTGGCAGGGCAAGGGTGGACAGACGGCGAGGTGAACGGTATGCTGACGCGTGCGTTGTTCAACGTCGACAGCGTTATGGTACGTGAAGGAACGCTTGAAATAAAATGGAGCGACGTTTACGTCAAGCCCAGTATCAGCCATTGACGTTAGTTGAATTTGGACAATCGTGGTTCAGACATGGTGGACACACACGATACTGAATTTGTGAACTCACTTTTGACACCACATATCTTCAAGGGCTTGTCACTGTCAAATCATACATGTTTCTATATTATCCTGCAAACAGCTAAACAGTGATTAAAGAAAACATCACAAAACATGTGACTATCATTTTGCATTCAAAAGGCATAGCATTAAATAATACATAGTTACTTTATTTCATCAGTATATAATTCATAGAAAGCAGAAGTGAGCGAGGAATGGATGCTTGGGATGTAAGGATAATAAACTTATTTGGAGGCCAAAGAGGAAAAACCCACATCATAAACTCTGTTATACGACCCATGAAAGGATACTGTAATCCCTTCATTGTCAAACCTGCCTGAGCGACCACTTCGTTTACTCAAGTCTATAAAGAGTTGCTGGTCGACTTCAGATGTACTTGCAAGGGCAGGTGCAGACTTCCAATCAGATGGGGAATATTCGAGGGGCACCCGTTTAGTCCGTTGCTTTTTCTGGTTTGTCAGTTGCTTTTTCTAGGTTTTCTGCTCAGTAACGAGGAGGGTTACCATCCCGGACTTCCACAGCACAGATCACAAACACTAACTTACTCATCTCCTTCAAATGGATGACATCGAGCTACTTGCCAAACAAGACGTCAGTTTAAAAGAACAGGTTCTCCTAGTTTCTAATGATGCAGGTGTGACATTTGAACACTACAAATGCAATACTGAAACGTGGCAAGGTAATGGATGATAGGACGGTCAAGCAAGTTACAAGGGGGAGGAGTAATTGAGCATCTATTGGAAGATCAGGTCTGCACCTACCTGGGAAAGCAAGTTCGAGACAAGCTCCAGAATGACCAAATTCAAGACAAACTTCGGGCTGAGTATAAATTTCGCTTATAGAATCCACAAATACATCTGCTGTGCCTGTCCCTTCTATCCCTTTTGCTGTAATTGATTGGGCAAAGCAACACATCCAAAGTTTTGGACGCCTGACTAGAAGGATCATCTATGACAGTCCCCGACCCTCGTTCCTCTCATAATTGTTTATATATGCCACTGAATTCGGGAGGTCCTTAATGTTGAGGTACGTTATGACGAAATTTTATTGTGTACAATTACACGTATATGTTTATCTGTTTATTCTCTGATGAGGCATATCAAGACTGCTAGTAAGGACTATTTGAAGCATGTGAAGGTTGTTGGACAAGATACCAAAGTTCCGGTTGATCTTGTTGATGACGAAGTACTGCTGGGCTGTACAGTGATGGTTGTAAAGTAGCAATCCAATCCAACCGACTTCTTTGCCTGGTCTTATACGTGGTACAGAGGACTTTCGTTTTGATTCCCAGGACCAGTCACTTCCTTGGAACAAACAACATATCATAAACGACATGATGACATGGTAGTTTCTACTACCCGTGAATATGCTGTTCGTAAAAGGCGATTAACGAAATCAGATGGTCAGGATCGCTGACTTGATTGACTCATGTATCCCAACTGCGTAGATCGATTCTCATGTTGTTGATCACTGGATTGTCTGATCCAAACCAGATTATTTACAGACCGCCGTCATGGCATATTGCTGAGTGCAGTGTTAAACTACGTTGTGTCTACTACCGTCCTC